TCCTTTTTTTTTTTTATGGAAATAGGAAAATTTTATTGAGTAATTGCAGTATTTACAAGAAGCAAAGTGTTAATGTTTAGTGTAAAAATAGTAACTATGTAACAAATCATAAAAGAAAACAATATAAGGGCAAAAATGTAAATCTGTAGCAGCTCCGTATATTCATTTTCCTTCTTCTGCTCAAAACTGTTTGCAATATGCTGCAAATATCATGTCAGCTGAACCTCCTGCATCAAGATCTGAGCTGGAAGCTACCTGAACATAAACCAGTAGCTGGACCTGTGGTCTATTAATGAGAACCATCCCTCCCAGATCAATCCAGCTGCAGCAGAGAGTGAGTAACTGAAGGGAGTCTGCACATATCACAATTCTAGCAAAAGACTAGATTAAAAGACCAGGCTCCACAAACTATTATGCAATTTCCAAACTGTCCTAAGCAGACCTCCCAATAGTCAAGAAGGTATCAACCAATACCCTGTCTTTGCTCACAAACCATTCTCTTCAATCTAACAGTAGGCAATCCACTCTGATCTTGCTTCAGTATGACCCTCCCAGCAAATGGCAAATCAGTACCCCTAGGGAATTCAGTACATCTTCCATTTTTGACAGCAAAGGAAGCTAAAAAAATTAGCAAGACCATTAGCTTCCCTATAAATGTGATTGATCTGCAAATTCAACATGCCAAACAACAGCTTAATCCTTTCCAACAAATATTGCAATTTCCATGGAACAACAGCTAAGCCCATTACCATCTGAACAAGAATTAGAGAGTCTGATTCCACAATAATCTAAAATGCTGACAAACCATGCTGGACAATTAGCAAATACCCATCCAGCAATGCCATGCACTCAGCTACCATATTTGAACCCAATCCATAATAGCAAGCAGCAGCTAAGATTACTCCCCCTTCATGATTCCTTATTATCATCCCACCACCTGACAGTCCAATCTTACCTTTAGAAGCACCATCAACATTAAGCTTTAACACATTTGTAGGAGGAGGTCCCCATTTAATCCATTTGACCTTAGTGATTAGGAGAAAAGGATTTTTAATTTGCAACTCTTACAAGAATTCCTTTCCCTTACAATCATCTTCAGTTCCAGGCCTTATAAGAAACGCCTGCCATCTCAAAGCATTCACAACTTGTAAGAAAATAGCATGAGCAATCAGACTCACTCCATCATACTTCCTCCTAAATCTCTCCTTCCACAGAGCCCAAAAAATCAACATAGATACTCCCCTTACCAGACTGTGACTGAGAGAAGGGGCTTTAAACCTTCTAATCAATCGCAGAAATCTGCATAAGGGAAAGTCTCCTGACAAAACATCAAATCCCAGAATCACAGCAACTTTCCTCCAAATAGCTTGAGCCACAGTACACTCAATGAATAGGTGAGAAACATTTTCCCCAGCCATGCCACACATTACACATTTACTGGCCATAGCTACACCCACACATTGTATTCTATCATCAGAGGTCAAGGCTTTTCTAAAAATTTTCCAAGTACATAACTGAGCACTAGGAAAAATTTTCTGCTTCCAAATGCATTATATCTATATCATTTTGGATCCTCTTTTTCCTAATTTGATTCCAAGCAGATTTAACAGTAAAATAGCCTGAATTAGGATGCCTCTAGATAAGTTTATTAGATAACTCAGACCTCATCAAAGTCACACTCTCAATCTCAAAACAAATCTAAGGATTAAGCCATTCAGCTAACTCATTAAGCTGTCATTCCATACCATTCCACAATTCATTAACTCTGGGCAAGATCAAGGGAGGATTCATAACTCTAAGAATCAATGAATTCTGAACTGTGAAGTTAAACCAAGGCCTCAATACTTTCAAAGACTTACCAGCACCAGTATTTCCACATCTGAGCATATGCTTCCCCTTAAAAACCTTCTCTTTAAAAACTTTGGCCCATAAAGAATAACCATTTAAAATGCCCCATACCTGTTTGATTCTAAATGCTATTTGAACTTCATCAAAACTTCTAATCCCCAAACCACCTTCTGTTCTGGGTTTTGAAATATCTTTCAATGAAACTCAATGCCTTCTCTTAGAGTTCATCTGACTGGACCAAATAAAATCAGAAATCAGAGAATTCAGCTTACTCAATATACCTTTTGGAATATTCAGACAAGCCAACATATGAATAGGAATTGAACTAAGTGCTGATTGTATTAATACAATCCTCCCCATACCAGATAACAATCTGTCATACCAACCCTCAATTCTTTTCCTGAAACTTTCCACCACCTCTTCAAAATAGCATTTCTTTACCCTTCCTCTGATAATGGGACATCCCAGATAAGTAAAATGACAATCCTTAAAAGGAATTCCCACCACAGAAGCCAAGCTATTCCTTCTGGACAAAGAAATCAACTTAGAACAATACACAACAATTTTTAACTTGTTAACCTTCTGACCAGAGCTTGATTCATACAGATCAATAAAATGTAGTACATTCAATACAGACCTTTTGTTGCCCCTTAGAAATATCAGAGTATCATCAACAAACAACAAGTGACTAACAACTGTTGTTCCTCTCCCAATATGAAAATGTTTAACCAGATTCTGTTTATAAATGCTCCTCAGGCCTCTACTCAGCACCTCTTCAGCCAAAATGAACAAGGTGGGAGAGAGAGGATCTCCCTATCTTAGCCCTCTTGAATTAGCAAAATAACCATATCTTTGTCCATTTAAACATATGGAAAAGAATTGGCTTTTCAAACAATTCAAAATAATTTGATTGAACAATTCAGAAAAACCAAAGCTAGCCAGGACCTTTAACAAGAAATCTCATTCCATCCTGTCATATGCTTTCATCATATCCAGTTTCATGACCATATTCCCACCCTCAACCTTCCTGTCTAACTCACTAACAAGCAGTTGTCCCAAAGCCACACAATCCCCAATCCCTCTCCCTTGAACAAAACCATGTTGTTCCTCAGAGATTAAAACAGTAACCAGGGAAGACAGTCTAGTATTTAGAAGCTTTGTAAAGATCTTATATAAGAAGTTACATAAGCTGATGGGCCTGATGTCAGAAAATGAACTAGGATCTGCCTTCTTAGGAATCAACACTAACAAAGTAGAATTCACTGATTTGGGCATTAATCCTCCTTTAAGTAAAAAATTTACAGCTCTACCCACATCTACTTTAATAATATCCCAGGCAAACTGAAAAAACTTACCAGACATTCTATCCGGCCCAGGAGCACTCTCAGTTGCAATTGAAAAAACAACATCTTTCAATTCCTCCAAAGTAGCTTCAGCAGTAAGCCTCTCATTCTCCTCTTCACTGATGAGCTTAGGAATGACATCAAATATGTGTTCATTGATGATATGCCTCTCAGTCTTATAAAGATCAGCATAAAATTCCTCAGCAACGTCAGCCACCTGCTTGTCACCATACACCCACACCTCTTCTTTATTCTTAATTCTTGAGACTTTATTTCTGACAACTTTACTTTTAGCAATAGAATGATAAAATCTGGTATTTCTCTCCCCGTGGACAGTCCATCTTACATTTGATTTTTGCTTCCAATAAATTTCCTCTCTCCTCAACCAATCATCCATCTCACCTTTAATAGCTTCTAACTCCAAAGCTTTTAAATCAGAGAAATTCTGGTCTAATTCCAGTTCAACTAAACTTATCTTTTGTTCAAAGTCTTTCAATTTTTCAAAGAGATTACCAAACACATCTTTATTCCACATCTTCATATGAGCCTTCAAATATTTCATTTTGATGAACACATTTGACATTGGATTATCTGAATAGTGTCCACTCCAATTAGATGCAATCAGAGCCAGAAAACCCTCATGATCACACCACATATCTTGAAATCTAAAATAGGAGATTCTCTTCTGTACAGGAGCATCCATAATTTTCAATAATAAAGGACTATGATCAGAGGAGCCCCTTGCCAAATGAACCACTTCCATACTATCAAACTTCATATTCCAGTAAGCATTAATCAGAGCTCTATCCAACCTCTGCTTCATTCTGATACCCCCATTTCTATTATCACACCAAGTAAATTTATTTCCAACAAAACCAGCATCCAACAGACCCCTATGATCCAAAAAATCACCAAATTCCTCCATAGATAACAAAGAAGGAGAGGCTCCCCCCAATCTTTCATCAAAGGATAAAATTGTATTGAAATCTCCAACTACCATCCAAGGAACATCAGAAGGATTATCTATATCCAACAAATGATCCCATAAAGCTCTTCTTATAAAAAAGATCACAACTAGCATATACAATAGAGACCCAAAAAACAACTGAATTCATAAATGTTAATTCCACAGTCAATACTTGATCGTGTTCAAATAAGACCCTTAACTTGATTCTCTTATCCCATAAAATTCAAATATTCCTTTCTGCTAGAGCATTAGAACATAAATGTTCTAGAACAATACTCCTAGCAAAAGGAACCAATTTGGAAACCAGCAATTTAGGCTCTTGAACTGCAACAAGACATACATCATGCAATTTAATAAGTTTCTTTAATCTCCTCCTCTTGGCATGTTTACCTGCCCCTCTCATATTCCATGAAAGAAAATTAATCATGAGTTCATAGAAGAGAGCATCACTAGAACTCAGTCCATTACCTTCATCATCTTCATCAAAAGAACTCCCAACATTATCAGAATCAACATTTAGAATCCTCTGAGATCTAGAACTGGCCTGGTCAGAATAATAACCCTTATCTAGAGGCTCTCTCTCCCTAACCAGACCAATCTGGTCATCTAAGGATCTTTGACTCCCTTTCCTGACAGCAAAATCATGTTCCACTAGGAAGGAGGAACCCAAGGATTGAGCATAAAGAGTCCTACACTCTCCCAACACCTCCACATTATCATTGATCACAATGTTGGCTTCATTAACATCATCAATAATAGGTAGTATATTTTCCACAGCAGTTAACAGATTTCTTTCAATGCTTCTATCATTAACCTCCTCATTAATTACTGAAGGCAAAACAGTAGGGGAGGAAAAAGAAAATACCTCCAACGTAGCACCAACAGAAGATGGAATCATAGGTATTTGATTCCTAGAACTGGATTCAGGATCCTCTCCTAAATTGTTCTCTTTTTGAATTTCCTCCAATCTAATATCAACATTAGCAGAGACTTCTTGATTTCCACATTCAGAGATCACCTGAAGATTATCAATACTCACAGTATCAAATCTAACAGCATCCCCTTTCTGAGTTTGGCCCATCATCTCCATAGCATTACCCAAGACAATACCAACAGTCATATCATGTAGATCTGGAAAACCAGCAACCATTTCCACAACATAAGAAGAACCTCTATTATCATTAACTCTTTCAGATAACATTTGCTGACCCAGTATAGGCATTTCTCTATCATTATTCAGATCCTCCACCACAATCTCCTCATTAAGCACAGCAAAACTATTTCCCACAACAGTAGTTTGAGGCATAGTTTTCTGTTTGTATTCTTTTCTTGGTTGCATTTTCAGCCCATCTACAGCAATAGCTTTGCCCTTTCTCTTCCTCCATTCTTCATCATGACTAAATTCATTCCCAATTTCCTGCTTCTTCTCAGAAGTAACACCTTCCACCTTCTTCTTTTTTCTACATAACTCTTCATCATGTCCCTACTTTAGGCAAGCTGGACAATATCTATATTCTTTCTCATACACTATCCTTTGCCATCTACCACTGACTCCCCCCATATCTAGCCAGAATCTCTTAGGATTACTGGCTAGAAGGTTCATTTCCACACAGGTCCTGGCCACACCAGGCCTAGAAAGGTTCAGAGTGGCATTGTCAATCACCAAAATCTTGCCAATTGGACTCAATATATCCCTCACACTCTCTCTATTAAATAAATGGATTGGAAGCCCAGGCAAGGACACTCATACAGGTACAACAGGAGGTTCAATCCTAGGATAAAACTCTGGGAACCACTTAAAAAACCTAAAAAGGTAACCCTCAATGTATGTGGTATCTTTTAGCCACACTTTGACATAATCCTCATAAAGAGAAAACCTGATCAATACATTCCTCAGGTCTAACACTCCTACAGAAAAGTCATCTTTCAATAACCATCTTGAATTGATAAATTCTTTCACAACACCCAGTGAGGGCTTACCATAGGCACATTTACCTATAAGTGTCTGGTTAAAACCTTTTGAAAGCTCCATAGTTTCAACAAGGGACCAATACATCCCAGGCTCCCTTTTATTGAAAACTACTCTCTTAGCAGGCTTAGGAGGATTCGCAGAATTCAAAGATCCAAATAGAATTGTAAAAGAAGGAACTTGAATACCAGTAGGATTCTGAGCACTCGAAATCATAAGTGGAAGCTGAATTTCTCTCTCAGGAACAGAGATCTGTGATTTTGGCAGAATTCAATTTGTCGAAGGATCTTGAGAATTCAAAATGGATTGGGAATTCAAAGAGGATTGGGGATGTAAGTTAATTCCCTGAGTGTTTCGAAACATTGAAGCATCAGAAGGAACCTGAATTCCTAACTCAGATGAAGAACTTTGATTATTCGTAGAAATTGACACAACCGAAGGAAGAACAGAGGCAAACTGAACAGTCGGCTTGTTTTGATTCAATTGAGAAATAAGAGGCATAAAAATGGTGCTATTACATCCCAAAGGATCAACAATTGTCAGGGAATTAATCTCCGAAGCAACAGGAATTGTGAGAAAATTATCCACATGTGACGGTTTCTTGAACAAGGAGGCAAAGTTTTTGGTGATGCCTAGAAGTTTTGGGGGAATTGGATGAGGTTCTTGGCCAGGACTCATGCTAAATCAATCAAATCCAGTAAGCATTCAAAGAATTTACAAAGAAATAATGAACAATCAGACAGAAAAAGAGAAGATCTGAGAAAAACATGAACAGTTTCTAGAGAGAAGTCAGACCTTCTCTCTCTAGAATGAAATAACTACCTCCCTAAAAAACCCTAAACCCTAAACCCTAAACCTTAAACCCTAATCCCTAAATCCTAAACCCTAAAATCCTAAAACCCTAAAACCCTAACACCCTAAACCCTAAACCCTAAACCTTAAACCCTAATCCCTAAATCCTAAACCCTAAAATCCTAAAACCCTAACACCCTAAACCTTAAACCCCTTAACCCAAAAACTCTAAACCTCTAAACCCTAAACCCTTTTTTTTTTCATAAGGGAGAAATTTTATTGAAAAGGCCAAGATTACAAGAAGCAAAAGCATAGCTTGAAAAACAATAGAAAGGCCCAAGTTGGTTTTAAACCTACAACATAAAGCAAAGAAAATTCTTTGGAGTGCAGCATCAGGACCACCAAAATGCTCAAAAGCCATGAGAACAGAACCAGCTAAAAATCCAGCTAGAGGGCTTAAAACCAGCTGAGCTGACCGTAGAGTGCCAGTAAAGAGTAGCAAAGAAAACCTATTGCAGTATAAAACATTAAAGCTTGCCATAAAACCAGAGCACATGTCCCAGCTACAAGAGCAGTTAAAAACCAATAGAAAATATATTTAAAAGATCAGCTGATAGCCAGTGAAAAGCCATAGAGACTGCCCAGCACCACAACAGCAACAATAGCCACCATCATTGTATAAAGCAGTAAATCCAACTGCAAAACCAACTTAAAACCAGGAAGCAGCAATTCCAAATGCAATAACCAATTTTAAAACCAAAAAAACTGGCTAGAAACCATATAAAACCCGCTGAATTGCTGTAGAACATCCACTTGTACAGACACGTGAGTAAGGTAATCCAGATAGCAGCGCAAAAACAACAAGAGCCCAGTTGAACAGCTGTCCACTGCCAGCAAAGAACCCAGCTAAAACCCCTGAGAAATCATATGAAAATCCAGCTGAAAGCCAATGGAAAGCCATAGAGGCCAGCTGAAAGAAAACCAACATCAACAACAGCCAAGCTGTTCACGTGAACTATCGCGTGAATAGTGTGCATGAGCACAGAACAGCAAACAAGCAGCTGGAATCACTCATTACTGCATAAAAAAAAAACCCCAGCTGCAACCTTAAAACCATCCAAACAGGTCAATTTCCATAAAAGCCAGTTGAGAACCCATTAAATACCAACTAAGAAAAGGAAGCGGAAAAATTAGCCGTACAACCAGCTGCAGCCGCATCAGGCCTGTACACGTGAAGAGTGGCATGCATAGTCATCTGTTGCAAAAACCAGTCAGCCATAATCATCATAAATCAGAACAGTCTTGGTACGAAGAACAGGTAATGACCATTGGTCCTGCCTCAATTTCATTCTCACAGTAGTTGGCAATTGGATATCAGAAAATTAGGATGAAAATCCGTCCTGAACTGCCCCATTAGCGAGGTAATCAGCCACAACATTCGCCTCCCCATAAACATGCCTCAATTGGAAATTCAAACTATCCAACAGCTTTCTTATTTGGTCCAGCAGATCCCAATAAAGCCAATCACAACCCACTTCCCCTTTAATAGACTTAACCACCACCAAAGAGTCAGAATCAATCCAAATCTTATATCCAGATAAACCGTGGCTCATAATCAAAATTAGACCATCTAACATAGCCTGAAATTTAGCAGCCATGTTTGAACACACCCCATAGAAGGAGGATACTACAAAAACCACTTCACCTCCATCATTTCTAAGAACCATACCCCCACCAGCAACCCCAGGATTGCCTTTCGAAGCACCATCAACATTCAATTTCAGGGATCCACTTACTGGAAATTCCCAGCCCACCCAGCTCGCTTTAATTTGCACTGCATAGGAACCAACAACACCCAACAACAGTGTAAAATTCCTCCCTCTCTCACCTTAGGTTTAATATTTCTCGCATGTAATCTCAAAATACTACAAATATTGAGAAAAATGGAGTGAAAATGAAGGCAAGCAAAGACCAACTGAGGGTCTAGCTAAACCTAGACAAATGCAACTGGAGACCTACAAATAAAGAAACCACAGTAGCTACAAGAAAGCTGAGCCAAAGGTGCACTAGACAAGAACAAGCAGCAGCGGAACAAGCTGAACAGTAGGCAGCGAAAAGAAAACCAGCTGAGAACCCATAAGGACCAGTTGCAAGTAAGAACCAGGTCAGGGGCTGAAAACCAATTGAAAAACTAGCTGACAGTCAGTTGAAGCCAAACTGAAAAGCACCAGAAAAAAATGGTTGCCTGATGCAGAGGAGAGGACCCAGCAACAAATGGCTTTAATCCTTCAATAGGGGAAAACCCTTGAAAACAGCATATCGCCACCCACGAAACCAAAGTTGTACTGACCCTGCACAAACCCCATCAAGAGAGAGACACCCCCAGCACAGCATCCAGCAACCTAAACCCTAAAACCCTAAACCATAAACCCCTAAACCCAAAAACTCTAAACCCCTAAACCCTAAACCCTTNCTAAAACCCTAAACCCTAAACCCTAAACCCTAAACCCTAAACCCCTAAACCCAAAAACTCTAAACCCCTAAACCCTAAACCTTTTTTTTTTTTAAGAAGGGAGAAATTTTATTGAAAAGGCCAGGATTACAAGAAGCAAAAGCATAGCTTGAAAACCAAGAGAAAGGCCCAAGTTGGTTTTAAACCTACAACATAGAGTAGAGAAAATTCTTTAGAGTGCAACATCAGGACCACCAAAATGCTCTAAAGCCCTGAGAAAAGAACCAGCTAAAAATCCAGCTAGAGGGCTTAAAACCAGTTGAGCCAGCCGTAGAGCGCCAGCATAGTGTAGCTAAGAAAACCAGCTGCAGCACAAAACATTAAAGCTTTCCATAAAACCAGAGCACATATCCCAGCTAAAGGAGCAATTAAAAACCAGTAGAAAATATATTTAAAAGATCAACTGATTGCCAGTGAAAAGCCACAGAGACTGCCCAGCACCACAACAGCAACAAGAGCCACCATCATTGTATAAAGACCAGTAGAAAGTCGGATGAGACCAGCTGAAACAAGCTGACAACCCATTTAGAGAACAATAAATCTAGCTAGGAATCCAGCTGAAAACCAGTTGATCAGACCCAATGAGGTCTAAAACCTTAAGCCCAACATCTGCCACCACCATTGAAATCCCAAAAAACAGTAAGCCCAGTTGCAAAACCAGCTTAAAACCAGGAAGCAGCAATTCTGCATTCAAGAACCAATTTTAAAACCAGAAAAACCTACTGGGAACCTTATAAAACCCACTGAATTGCCGCTGAACATCCACTTGTACAGACACGTGAGCAGTGTAATCCAGACAGCAGCGCAAAAACAACAAGAGCCCAGCGGAACAGCTGTCTACTACCAGCAAAGAACGCAGCAAAAACCCCCGATAAATCCTATGAAAATCTAGCTGAAAGCCAATGAAAATCCATAGAGGCCAGCTGAAAGAAAACCAACATCAACAACAGCCAAGCTGTTCACGTGAACTATCGTCTGAACAGTGCACAGGAGCACAGAACAGCAAACAAGTAGTTGGAATCACCCATGACTGCATACAAAAAACCCCAGTTGCAAACTTAAAACCATCCAAACAGGTGGAATCCCATAAAAGCCAGTTGAGAACCCATCAAACACCAACTAAGAAAAGGAAGCTAAAAAATCAGCTATAAAACCAGCTGCAGCCGCATCAAGCCTCTAGACGTGAACAGTGGCCTGCACAGTCATCTGCTGCAAAAACCAGTCAGCCATAATCGTCATAATTCATAACAGTCTTGGTACGAAGAACAGGTAATGACTGTGGTCCTGCCTCACTTTCCTTCTCACAACAGTTGACAATTGGATATCAGAAAATTCAGATGAAAATCCGTCTTGAACTGCCCTATTAGTAAGGCAATCAGCCACAACGTTCACCTCCCTATAAACATGCCTCAACTGAAAATTCAAACCATCCAACAGCTTTCTTATTTGGTCCAGCAGATCCCAATAAAACCAAGCACAACCCACTTCCCCTTTAATAGACTTAACCACCACCAAAGTGTCAGATTCAATCCAAATCTTATATCCAGATAAATCGTGGCTCATAATCAAAATTAAACTATCTAACATAGCCCGAAATTCAGCAGCCAAGTTTGAACAGACCCCATAGAAGGAGGATGCTGCAAGAACCACTTCACCTCCATCATTTCTAAGAACCATACCCCCACCAACAACACCAGGATTACCTTTGGCAGCACCATCAGCATTCAATTTCAGGGATCCACTTGCTGGAAATTCCCAGCCCACGCAGTTCGCTTTAAGTTGCACCACATAGGATCCAACAACACCCAAGATCTATGTAAAATTCCTCCCTCTCTCACCATATCTCGCCTTAGGTTTAATATTTCTCGCATGTAATCTCAAAATACTACAAATATTGAGAAAAATGGAGTGAAAATATAAGTGAAAATGAAGGCAGGCAAAGGCCAGCTGAGGGTCTAGCTAAACCTACAAAAAGGCAGCTGGAGACCAGCTAGAAAAGAAAGCACAGCAGCTGCAAGAAAGTTGGACCGAAGGAGCACTAGACAAGAACAAGCAGCAGCAATAAACAAGAGCAGCTGAACAGCAGGCAGCCGAAAGAAAACCAGTTGAGAATGCAGCTGAAAAGCCGTAAGGACTAGCTGAAAGTAAGAACCAGATGAAGGGCTGAAAACCAACTGAAAAACCAGCTAACAGTTAGCTGAAGCCAAGATGAAAAGCACCAGAAAAAAATGGTTGCCTGAAGTAGAGGAGAGGACCTAGCAAAAGATGGCTTTAATCCTTCAATAGGAAAAAAACGCCTGAAAACAGCATATCGCCACCCACCAAACCATAGTTTTACTGACCTTGCACAAACCCCAACAACAGAGAGACACCCCTAGCACAGCATCCAACAGCCTAAACCCGAAACCCTAAACCCTAAAACATAAACCATAAACCCTAAACCCCCTAAACCCTAAACCCTAAACCCCTAAACCCAAAAACACTAAACCCCTAATCCCTAAACCCTTTTTTTTTTTTAAGAAGGGAGAAATTTTATTGAAAAAGCCAAGATTACAAGAAGCAAAAGCATAGCTTGAAAAACAAGAGAAAGGCCCAAGTTGGTTTTAAACCTACAACATAAAGCAGAGAAAATTCTTCAAAGTGCAGCATCAGGACCACCAAAATGCTCAAAAGCCATGAGAACAAAACTAGCTAAGAATCCAGCTGGAGGGCTTAAAACCAGCTGAGCCGACCATAGAGCGCCAGTAGAGAGTAGCCAAGAAAACCTGTTGCAGCATAAAACATTAAAGCTTGCCATAAAACCAGAGCACATGTCCCAGCTGAAGGAGCAGTTAAAAACCAATAGAAAATATATTTAAAAGATCAGCTGATAGCCAATGGAAAGCCATAAAGATTGCCCAGCACCGCAACAGCAGCAAGAGCCACCATTAATGTATAAAGACCAGCAAAAAGTGGGCTGAAAACCAGCTGATCGGACCCAATGAGGTCCAAAACCTTGAGCCCAACATCGGCCACCACCATTGAAATCCCAAAAAATAATAAACCCAGCTGCAAAACCAGCTTAAAACCAGGAAGCAGCAATTCCAGATGCAATAACCAATTTTAAAACCATAAAAACCAGTTGGAAACCTTATAAAACCCGTTGAATTGCCGCTGAACATCCACTTGTATAGACACGTGAGTAGGGTAATCCAAACAGCAGCGTAAAAACAATAAGAGCTCAGCTGAACAGCTGCCTACTGCCAGCAAAGAACCCAGCTAAAACCCCTGAGAAATCATATGAAAATCTAGCTGAAAGCCAATGGAAGGCCAAAGAGGCCAGCTGAAAAAAAACCAACATCAACAACAGCCAAGTTGTTCATGTGAACTATCGCGTGAATGGTGCGCAGGAGCACAAAACAACAAACAAGCAGCAGGAATCACCCATGACTACATACAAAAACCCCCAGCTGCAACCTTAAAACCATCCAAACAGGTGGAATCCCATAAAAGCCAGTTGAGAACCCATCAAATACCAACTAAGAAAAGGAAGCTGAAAAATCAGCAATAAAACCAGTAGTAACCGCATCAGGCCTGTGGACGTGAACAGTGGCCTGCACAGTAATCTGCTGCAAAAACCAGTCAGCCATAATCGTCATAAATCAGAACAGTCTTCGTACAAAGAACAGGTAAAGACCGCTGGTCCTGCCTCTTTTTCATTCTCACAACAGTTGGCAATTGGATATCAGAAAATTCGGATGAAAATCCGTCATGAACTGCCCTATTAGCGAGGTAGTCAGCCAGAACATTCGCCTCCCTATAAACATCCCTCAACTAAAAATTCAAACCATCCAACAGCTTTCTTATTTGGTCCAACAGATCCGAATAAAGCCATACACAACCCACTTACCCTTTAATAGACTCAACCACCACCAAAGGGTCAGATTCAATCCAAATCTTATATCTAGATAAACTATGGCTCATAATCAAAATTAGACCATCTAACATAGCCCGAAATTTAGCAGTCATGTTTGAACAGACCCCGTAGAAGGAGGATGCTGCAAGAACCACTTCACCTCCACCATTTCTAAGAACCATACCCCCACCAGCAACACCAGGATTACCTTTCGCAGCACCTTCAAAATTCAATTTCAGGGTTCCACTTGCTGGAAATTCCCAGCCCACCTAGCTCGCTTTAAGTTGCACCACATAGGATGCAACAACTCCCAACATTTGTGTAAAATTCCTTCCTATCTCACCATCTCTCACCTTAGGTTTAACATTTCTCGCATGTAATCTCAAAATACTATAAATACAGAGAAAAATGGAGTGAAAATGTAAGTCAAAATGAAGGCAAGCAAATACCGGCTGATGGTCCAGCTAAACCTAGACAAAGGCAGCTAGAAAATCAGCCGGAGACAAGCTAGAAAAGAAACCATAGCAGCTGCAAGAAAGCTAGATCGAAGGAGCACCAGACAAGAACAGGCAGCAGCAATAAACAGGAGTAGCTGAACAGTAGGCAACAGAAAGAAAACCAGTTGCGAATAGAGCTGAAAAGCCATAAGGACCAGCTGAAAGTAAGTACTAGGTAAGGGATTGAAAACCAGCTAACAACCAACTGAAGAACCAGCGGACAGTCAGTTGAAGCCAAGCTGAAAAGCACCATAAAAAAACGGTTGCCCAAAGCAGGGGAGAGGACCCAGCAAAAGATGGCTTTAATCCTTCAATATGAAAAAACCCCTGCAAAGAGCATATCGCCACCCACCAAACCAAAGTTGGACTGACCTTGCACAGACCCCATCAAGAGAGAGACACCCCCAACACAGCATCTAGCAGCCTAAACCCGGAACCCTAAACCCTAAAACCTAAACCCTAAACCCTAAACCCTAAAATCTGAAACCCTAAACCTTAAACCCTAAACCATAAACCCAAAAACTCTATACCCCAAAACCCTAAACCCTTTTTTTTTAAGAAGGGAGAAATTTTATTGAAAAAGCCAAGACTACAAGAAGCAAAAGCATAGATTGAAAAACAAGAGAAAGGCCCAAGTTGGTTTTAAACCTACAACAGATAGCAGAGAAAATTCTTCAGACTGCAGCATCAAGACCACCAAAATGCTCAAAAGCCATGAGAAAAGAACCAGCTAAAAATCCAGCTAGAATGACTGCTCACTGCTTTTATATTCCTCTCTAATGCTCTCTAGGATTCCAAGAGGTGTGAGGTGAGAGTGGAGTGAAAGAAATGAGGGCAAATGGGATGAAAATGGGGTTTAAAACACCTCAGCCCCAAAATTCACTGTTCACAGCCTGTTTTGATTTTCTCTAAAATTACGATTTTGCCACTAAGAACCTCCAATTTGATCCATATGACTACCCTAAGATTTTTCGACGTTCTGGATTCATTTTTAATGTTATTTTAACCTAAAAATATCTATTTTCATGATTTATCTCAAAATCAAAGTCAACGTACACCCAAAACACTAAAGTTTTTATTTTACCCTTCCAAACTAGCTATTAATGAAGTTTTGCGTTGTTTACAAACAAAAGTTGATAAATGGTGCTTCTTAAAGCCTTTTATACTTATTTGAAACCTAAATGTACTCATTATTTTTATATTTTGATTTAGGATGCAAATGGAGACGTTAAATATAAAACGAAGTTAATTGGACTGTTTTGACATTACTTTGTTATCTGGGCATAACTCTCTCATCCGATCTCCGATTGACATTGCTAAAACTTTCATGTTTTGAGTTTGGAGATATATTGACTGCATCAAGGTCTAAATTGGGCTTGAAGTTGTTGCCAATGCACTATTCAAGCTAATTGGGCTGTTTTAACATCACTTCGTTATCTGGGCATAACNCCCAACATTTGTGTAAAATTCCTTCCTATCTCACCATCTCTCACCTTAGGTTTAACATTTCTCGCATGTAATCTCAAAATACTATAAATACAGAGAAAAATGGAGTGAAAATGTAAGTCAAAATGAAGGCAAGCAAATACCGGCTGATGGTCCAGCTAAACCTAGGCAAAGGCAGCTAGAAAATCAGCCGGAGACAAGCTAGAAAAGAAACCATAGCAGCTGCAAGAAAGCTAGATCGAAGGAGCACCAGACAAGAACAGGCAGCAGCAATAAACAGGAGTAGCTGAACAGTAGGCAACAGAAAGAAAACCAGTTGCGAATAGAGCTGAAAAGCCATAAGGACCAGCTGAAAGTAAGTACTAGGTAAGGGATTGAAAACCAGCTAACAACCAACTGAAGAACCAGCGGACAGTCAGTTGAAGCCAAGCTGAAAAGCACCATAAAAAAACGGTTGCCCAAAGCAGGGGAGAGGACCCAGCAAAAGATGGCTTTAATCCTTCAATATGAAAAAACCCCTGCAAAGAGCATATCGCCACCCACCAAACCAAAGTTAGACTGACCTTGCACAGACNTTCAATATGAAAAAACCCCTGCAAAGAGCATATCGCCACCCACCAAACCAAAGTTAGACTGACCTTGCACAGACCCCATCAAGAGAGAGACACCCCCAGCACAGCATCTAGCAGCCTAAACCCGGAACCCTAAACCCTAAAACCTAAACCCTAAACCCTAAATCCTAAAATCCGAAACCCTAAACCTTAAACCCTAAACCATAAACCCAAAAACTCTATACCCCTAAACCCTAAACCCTTTTTTTTTAAGAAGGGAGAAATTTTATTGAAAAAGCCAAGACTACAAGAAGCAAAAGCATAGCTTGAAAAACAAGAGAAAGGCCCAAGTTGGTTTTAAACCTACAACAGATAACAGAGAAAATTCTTCAAACTGCAGCATCAAGACCACCAAAATGCTCAAAAGCCATGAGAAAAGAACCAGCTAAAAATCCAGCTAGAATGACTGCTCACTGCTTTTATATTCCTCTCTAATGCTCTCTAGGGTTCCAAGAGGTGTGAGGTGAGAGTGGAGTGAAAGAAATGAGGGCAAATGGGATGAAAATGGGGTTTAAAACACCTCAGCCCCGAAATTCACTGTTCACAGCCTGTTTTGATTTTCTCTAAAATTACGATTTTACCACTAAGAACCTCCAATTTGATCCATATGACTACCCTAAGATTTTTCGACGTTCCAGATTCATTTTTAATGTTATTTTAACCTAAAAATATTTATTTTCATGATTTATCTCAAAATCAAAGTCAACGTACACCCGAAACACTAAAGTTTTTATTTTACCCTTCCGAACCGGCTATTAATGAAGTTTTGCGTTGTTTACAAACAAAAGTTGATAAATGGTGCTTCTTAAAGCCTTTTATACTTATTTGAAACCTAAATGTACTCATTATTTTTATATTTTGATTTAGGATGCAAATGGAGACGTTAAATGTAAAACGAAGTTAATTGGACTGTTTTGACATTGCTTCGTTATCTGGGCATAACTCTCTCATCCGATCTCCGATTGACATTGCTAAAACTTTCATGCTTTGAGTTTGGAGATATATTGACTACATCAAGGTCTAAATTGGGCTTGAAGTTGCTGTCAGTGCACTATTCAAGCTAATTGGGCTGTTTTAACATCACTTCGTTATCTGGGCATAACACTCTCATCCGAGCTCCGATTGAGATGATTAAAGATGCTATGGAATGCTAAGAAAGAGCTCTACAACTTTCCTGTTTTGAGTTTTGAGAGATATTGACTGCATAAAGGTTGAAATCGCGCTTGAAGTTGCAGTCTATACACTGTTCATGTGCACTATTCACGTCCTGTTTCATCCCTTTTCCATTTCCAATCCATTCCTAAGCCAACCAAATCCATCTTAAACCTCTCCAACACATATTTCTACACCAAACCTATTTAATACAAGTTCTAGGACCTAAAATTCATATTTTCACTTATTAAAACCAAATTTCAACTATTATTTCCACTAACATTTTAAATCTCTACTTTTCCAATCTACCAAATTCAAACACACATCACTACACATATCCACATTTTTACCACAATTATTTACTATATATCTATATAAATATATAAAAGAAAATGCGGAGTGTTACATAATAATTATCTCTATGTTACAACATCTATAATGCTAGCTCCAGATGGAAGCTGCAAAAGTTTAACTACTAATCTCCATCATCTATTTCCAAGTAACTTTTTCCTCTTGTGTACTCTATTCCATCCATAACTTCAAAACCCTATCCTTACCACCAGATGCTACCTTCTCACCATCTAGACTCTAGTCAACAGCAAAAACCTTCCAAAATTGAAAAGAAAATTTATCATCTTAGTGTGAAAAATGGTTGTCGATGTTTTGAAGGAAAATATACCTCATTTGCATGGTCGGGCATGTCTTGTTTCAACTTCTGCATCCTGATATCCCAAACCTACATAACAGAAGAAATTTCATATTAGTAATCAAGGACATGTTCTTTAGTAGGAACAAATCAAAACGAGAGTGAAATTATGAATTGATGCTCAAAGGTCGAGGTTTGATGCATAAAAGAATGAGCAATGCTACAGGGACCTTATTTGGGAACTTCATTTAAAGACCTAATGATGTGGCTTCAATGCAACCATTAGATTAGTTGTGAGTTCTGACGTTAGATGGAGCTCACAACCAATATAATGGTTGTACATCATTAGATCCCTAAATAAGGTCTAAATAGCATTTCCCTAAAAGAATACCTAGACTAACCCACAGTAGGTATTTTCGACAGAATAATTTTTTACTAAAGAGTTAAATGACAATTTCATTTGAACCCAGTAACTCTGAAGGAAAATATTAGACTAATGTCAATGTACTTAACTTCACATGTGAAAGAAAAAATCATACCAAAGGAGATTTACAGACTAATATCAAAGTGATGTAGGGATAAAAGAAGGAAGACAACAGGATTACCGAAACCTCCCAATGATTAAGTCAAGAAACACAAAATTAGAGATCATACTCTAATCAAAATTATAGTGATTACATAAATAAGTATAGAATAAGTCTTCTAACAACACTAACATTACTCTCCTATTAAAAACTCCACATCTCCCAATCAGGTATACACTAGTTAACCAAATAATGTAATAAATAAATCCACATACACAAAATCCAAAATGCCAGCACGTGAAATTTTGCTCAATGCACTTCCGATGATCGGGAATTTAAAAAAACATATCACTTGAATTTCCATGCAATTATATTTTTGTGATGACTCAAATACTGGGCCAACACCTCCACTGATCATACCCTTAATGTCTCTAGAAGATGGGTTATACCCAACATGATTCACTAACGAATGAACCACAAAAGCAGAACGCATAAAATACACCATACCTTCAAAGTAGAGTCTTTGCTCCCACATAAAAATCGCCTACTATCAGCAGACCAGCTACATGGCAACATGAAACATGATAATTAGCTTTATTGCAAATGTTTGTGGACATATTAACGAGGTAAAAAGTAAACCTTATCTGGTAGATAGGTCCCACATGACCTCGAAATGCAGCAACAAATTTTCCAGTGATACCATTCCATAACTTGACTGACTTGTCAAATGAGGCACTTGCTATCCATTGCCCATTGGGTGAAAAATAAACATGGTTCACAAGCTGCAAGAGGGCAATAAAATATAGACTCAAATGTGAGCTTGGAAGGCAAATCCAGTGCAAATAGTTACAGTTATACCATAGAAATCTCAGCACACACGCCCAACTGTACACATAAAAACAGTACTTTTATCATCACCTTGTGCCATATTTTGCTCTAACTTTCTTCATAGCATGGGTCCCCATAGGCTGGTCTAGAGTGAACCACAGCCACATAACCTGAGGAACCTACACACTTCATACTAGCCCAAGCACAAACCCAACCTAGCCATCCTAAGGCTAGATGAGCCCAACCCAAATGTAGCCCTTGCATAAATGTCATGGCTTTGACCGAAGCGGACTAAGCCACCATATAACACTTTATTTTACCTAAGAACTTTAGCTTGGTGGAAACGAAATTCTTTTCCTTGTGATGATTAACCAAAAAAAAAGTAACATGCTCTTTTTCTTTACAAATGTCAAGATTTGATTGTCCATTGTAGCAATAACATACAAAATCTTCCTGCTTACATGCAAAATTTTAATATATTTCTATAAAAATATTATCAAGCAGGACAGGGTAGGGTCAAACCATGCCATTTTTCACCTCAGCCTAGACTCATTAAGAACTTGATTAGGGCAAAATTACTGGCCAATGCCCAATGCCCAATCCGTAATCCCATAAGCCTATGCTCTAGCTTGGGCCCTAGATCTACAAGGTTGGGTTGGGTGGGTTGGATGGCTTGCCCAGGCCATGGACACCTTAGCTATGTAGGAGAGAAAGCCATATAGAGAGGAAGCAATACTGTTAAAAGATTAGAAAGAATTGAAAGTTTAGTCCAGGTTGAGATAAGTTTTAGAATTTATATTCAGTGAGGTGTTCTACACTAAATGCTAAGTGAGTGCCCTCAACTTCAAATTTTGGCATTTTTTAAGTGAAACCTAATTGTCTAATTGATACATGTTGTGTATCACACTTAATTTTTGTCAAAGGGTTGAACACAGTACACTGAAAAAACACTTAGTAAATCAGTTTCATACCCGTAATTGCGTTAACAAACACTCGTACCTATTGATGACCTGTCATTTGAGTTTGGGATGTTTGCTGACAACAGGTTCCCAAAGAAACATGGTGAAGTCATCAGACCCTAAAACCAATCTTTCAGGGGCATTGCCATTCATCTTTTTATACAGCTCCAAAGCAATCTAATTCAATAGTGAAAGGAAGCAGGTTGCTTGTACAGAAAAGAAAAAGGAAAAGTAAAACGCAAATATATAAAGTAAATGCACCTCAAAAAACATAAAAATTATGGCAAAAACTTTTGATTTGCAAGAAGACTTGAATTTGTCCATTTGGTAACATACAACTTCATAACAGGTTTTCTCTGATGTTAAAGATAAAAAAAAATTACCTCTTTCATCTCGTCAGGAGATGAATATTGTTTACCAGTATGATCAAAGGCACCAGTCCGAAGAACATATTCTATACTCAATGCCAGGGAATTAACCCAATGTCCATGGCCCTTTAAAAAATAAATAAAAGAAAGTAGTTAAGCAAGAAGTTAAAGATTAAGGAAGAAACAATTGCATCAAGAGTAAAAGTAGTATATGAACCAAAATCCTTCAACAGGGACGCAATTAGGAATAGAACCATCACCTTCAATTAGAATATGAAAACGAGAACTATGTAACGGGTATGGGCCACTAATAAAATAATTGAAGTAGAATGCAAGAGGATCATTTCCCAAAAAAATTGGTAAACTCTTCAGGACCACCACTTCATTGTGGAAAAAGAAAGGATCTTCAATAACTCAAAAACATTTTTCACTTTGCCAATTTATTTTCGTGCACTACTAAAACCTGATGAAACCTCGAACATAGCAGATGTGCCCCAGGACCAGTCAAACAAATAAGCATCAAAGATGATTAGCATGCAAGAAATAGTAAGGGGTTTGACATGGCCCATGACTTATATCAGTCAGGTGTACTTTGGTTAGCATTCTAATATACAGGTTGGTTGGATGATCAGGCACTATTCAATGATTTGTCAAAGCACCAACATAATAGAAGCAGACCCATAATGTCCAAAGTGTTCAACAATTCAGTCCAACATTAGGCCCTCAAAAGCACGAATAACATTTTCACAGAATTTTCAACTAGTATTAGATGCCAAGGGAATGCAGTGAACTTACCAAGGGAATCTACATAAATGATTGATGCTAATCAAGTTCTTATAAAAAGAACTAGATGATTTAGTAGCCTTGAAAAGTTTTAACTTCTCACAATTACCAAGCACAACTTTGCATGCTATTTGGGGGTCTAGACTTCAGGTAATTATAATAAAGATGCTAAAAGTGAAATTAGGTACTCAATTTTGGGAATGGCTAAAACATTACACCCACAAAAAAAAGAGTCATCTAAAATATTAATGACCGAAAGACAACTCAAAAGCACTTAGTTTAAAACCAATAACAATGGCAAAGTAAGAGGGCTTGACCATCAAATGTGAGTCTCTAAAGCAAACGCCACAAAAGGACAATGTTTCTAAAAGACAAGAGTAATCAAGACGGGCATCTGAAATTCACAAGATATGCATTTTGAAAAACTTTAAAAAGACTTTGCTACCTTGATAACTACATGCATTCTCTATGGTTCCCAATTTTTTGTTAAGAACATTTTGGAAAGCCCAACTGAAAGTATGGTATTCCCTTTATCAAATCAATCAAAAACTTGGTTTCCACTCAAAACAAGCAAGTTAAATAGGACATAACCCAAGTTGGTCCACTTGTTAAAAGGTAGTCCACGTTACAAACCTACTAGTCATACTGACCATGGATCACACACAGCAACATCTAACAATTCTATGCAAGCAAGAAAGGCAACTCAATAACACCAAATTACCAAAAGATGTACTCATTTATCTTCAATTCACGAATTAGCTTCCCCTGTGAAGTTTCCCACACTTTGATTGTACAATCGTGAGATCTGCAGCATGTGAACGGAAGATGTCATCATCCAATTAGAGCATACCATATATGCGTTCATAATAAAGCCACCAAATATTAGTCAACATTGGTTGCCAATATACAAACAAGTTTATGAGTAAATAAACATTTTCTCTTGGATAAAGCAAAACCTTAATAAATACTGGACTAAAATTTCAACTTCCAAGGAATCCATTGAATATCAGGTCAAAGATACTAAAATAAAAAATTTCCAATACATAAAACCAAGGAATTTTCTTCAGAAGTCCACCAGGGAACAATTCTGTAAAGGCAAGCCAACTAAATTTTCAACGTAACCAACAATTGACTGATCAAAACACTGTAGTTTGTCCACTACAATAATTCACCGTGGATATTTTATGGAAAAGAAAGATATGCGGCCATAATTTTTTAGATCATAATAAGCCAATGGAAGTACATTTTGTAGTTTATGGTAGAGATGGGTAGCCCTAAGATTTTCTTTTTGTCAATATACTAAAATTAGAAACGATTGATCAAATGAGCAAAGAAATGCGATAGATTATGTTTAAAAGAAGGAAATTTTAGTTGTAAACAAGATATTCTTTTGTGAATCTAATATCGACATATAAATAGCCCAATTTAGTATGTCAATTCGTCAAGTAAAATTTTTTGGTGAGTCAGATGGAAAGAGTAAGTACTTATCCATTAGAATGCAAATAAGAACAAGGATTTACAAGAATGGTCATTAAAACTTCCAGCAACTGAAAGAATGCATACCCTGTATATATTACTCCATCTCCACCCCATTTCATACAAGTAACTGCAAGTGTGTGGCCAGTAAGAGAAATAACACATTTCCTTAATGAGATGTCCCATATACGCGCATCACCATCTTTACTTTAACTCACGAAGCGACGACATGGAGCCTGGAGATGTACTGGTTCCCATGATATACTAGTAATCCATTTCTTGTGGCCCTGAGATACGTGAATTCTAAAGTGAGTGCCCATGAGCGTCTTTTGGGTGGCCTCCAACAATGAAGTTGTGCTTATTCTAGCTAATTAGAACCTAGAACATTAAATTGGAAATGCAAATTGAAAAGCAAAACTATGTACATGTAGGAACATATTTAGCTATTATTGCTATTCAGCATTTCAGCTCCAGTCATTTTGTTGATTCTTCTTAAATCATTTTCTTGGTCACTTCAGTAAAAGTTCTTAAGAATCACCTTGCCTGCTCCCTCTATGTATTGGTCTTTTGGAAATTCACTTATTGAAGTGTCATTCGCGGGTTTGAGTGTTTTTTTTTTCAATTAATTTTATAATTTGCAAACCAACTGTTCGTGAGTTTGGGTTTGTGAAGATGGTGGTCTTCTACACTTTATATTTCAGCACAGCTATGAACCAGACTTATTTTTCCTCAGGTTCCGAAAGACAAACCAGTCTTAAAAGTTAAAACCAAGGAACTGACTCAATGTCATGCTCATGGAAAACAGCCTGACTGTGATACCAATGGGGCTGATAACCAAAACACAAGGTGCATGCCTCTGGCCTCAATTCTTGTCATTTCATAAATTAGCAACACTGTTGACACATTAGTTTTATATCAATTCAAACACTCACAACCAGATGCAATTTTCGGTTCACTCTCAATATCTAGATTTATGTCAAAACCAATGTTACTTGGATCATGAGTTGATTTGGTTTGGAGTGGGGGTACGGGGATGCAGTGCGATGGGGATAAATTTAGTTGGTACAGTGTTTTGGATCGCAATTCATTTTAAAACCCTAGACCATTTCTTGCTATATAAAATTATGTATAATAACACATGCATAAACACATACTCAAATACTATTTATAGTCAATTAATATTTATTTTTTATTTATGATACATTATCTAAGCAAAACAATTTGAGGTTGGTATTACAATTTAGGGTCGGACATTAAGGTGATATGAATATCAAATCCACCCCGTTTGAGATCAATGTACCCAGATGGCAGGTTATCAAAGATTTAGCGATTTCTAGTAACTATGGTCAAAACATAACACTAATGGCAGCAGACACTTTATTCTCATTTTCAGGAGTCGCAAAGTCTACATAAAAGTTCCAAGTGACAGAAAGGAAAGAACTTGGATAGGCATTGTTTTCATAGCCACTACCTGGAACATATGAAAAGATAGAAACTAGGAATTTAGAGAAAGAAAGACCTCAACCCCTTAGTCATTGACAGAATTAGGAGAGGGCCTAGGAGGGTCATGCCACCCCCTCCCCCTCCACCTCCACTTTTGAAAGCCTTTGCATATATGTACATCACTATACTTGGAGAAGCTTGTTCAACAAATATATATATACTTGAAAAAGGATCTCTATTTCTATATTGGCCCATGACAATTTCTGCCATAAGTGCTTTTAGTTTTTCATACACCTACCTGAATCACGCTAGCAAATATTCTTCTATTGGTATAATAACATTAGGTTGTCATCCATTTTAATTCTTTCATTAAAATATTTCGTTGGTAAATAAAAAAAAGTTTTCATTTTTATTACATTGGTTAGATTTGTTCCTATGCTTTCTACTTTGACTATAGCTATTTTGTACAGCATTGTTTTTGTGGTTATGAACATTATCAAAACTAGGCTTCAAAATAAGACGAAGAATGGTTTTCCCACAAACTTTTTTGTTGTGTACATAGAAAACAAATTTGTTGAAAAAATTGGCATGGATTACATCAAAGAGATAGAAAAGGACATCCAGTACCAATTTGATAGATGACTTGAGAGGTATTCTAGTGGTTTCTTTTTTTTTTTTTTGTTTATGTAGAGTGTGTATTCATTTGTTGAATATAATTTATGCATTGTAAATTTCAAGATACGGTACAAGGAAAGAAAAAAAACCAATACTGTCATACTTGAAACAGATTCGGCCAAAGCCATCAACCCTTTTACCAACCAGCTGGAATCGCACTACCCAAGCAAAGCACTAATAGGGAATTGCAAGCAAATGGTCAAGAGGAACAATAGCGGATATTGCACATATTTCAGGAGGGAAACCAATATGCAGATAACCGGCCAACATGGGAGAGAAACAATCAGAAGCCTTGGTGGAACTGGAATTCCTACCAGAAGAAGATATAAGACCTTTATTTAATGTAGCTCTAACTGAAAAAGCTTTTGTTGGATCTCATAGATAGCTATGCTTCTTTACCACAGCACCCAAAAAAAAAAAGACAACTCCAATTGATACTCCACGGTTTTACACAGTCAGCCATTCACTCTGCTTTAGTTTGACAAACACAGTAGTAGTTAAAGGTTACTGCGTATGAAAGCAGACGGAATCAATAATGAAGTAACTCTTCGACTGCGATGATCAATATACAATTTCCATCCCATGTGCATGCAATATTGATAAAAGATGTATTTACTCATCAAGCAACTAAGATTTAACCTAAAAGAAGCAAGGCATTCAAATTTGACGATCTTACAATAAGTGGATTTCTTGATGGCTTCCCAGTCAGTGGGTCCCAGTATTGAAGATCTCCAGCCTTACTTCCACTAATGAGATGCTTATCGTCTGCTGACCATGCAATACAAAGAACCCAATTCTTGTGGCCTGAAAATAAGGGAAAATACAATTTTTTTCCATTAGTCCACAACAATGTATCAAACTTCTTAATCTTTCCCCCGACATGGTGCTATGTATCAGAGTTACCATATAAGTATTGCTTAGTGACAAACAATAGCATCCATTTAAAGGGCAGTTCTCCAAAAATCCGGATATAAAAAATTGCTGCAAGCACTAGTCTGATAATGTGTATTTGCATAAAGAAAAAAGGTATTGACTGCACTGAATTGCTTGAGATTGCTAAAGAGTTCTAGATTGGTACCGATCACCTAACAAAAATGCTCAAAATAGTTTTGCATACATAATGTTAACATATTTCAGCTAACAAATCGTTCAACTTGCCTTATATTTGATAGAGGTATGAGTGCATGCACGTCCTATCCTATTAAAGAGGGTGCTACAATGCAGTAAGCGGTAACAGCACACCAAAAAACTTGGTCAAAATAATAGACAAAAACTCATCCAAGAAATTTGGAATTGAATGCACAAGAAACACAAATAAACAAGGATATGTTTTTTTTCCTCGAGAACCAAAAAAATTTACAGAGATTACTCCTTGCAAAGAGGATTAGCTCCCAAATAGCTGACAGATAAAGCAGTAAGGGCTTACATAACCAGCATACCTTATTTGCTACAAGAAGTTATTAGGTACATAATAAGCCAAAATGTCATATTGTCAAGATATTCAAGCCAAGCAATTACTTAGGGCAACAAAAGCAATGAAAAAACTGATGATTCTTCCATTGAATTTGCACAACATAGTCATCTTGATATCTAAAAGTATTGCCCAAGGAAAAGGGAGAAAAAGTGGAAGCAATTATATTTTTGTAGAATACAGAAGAATCCAGCGAGCACCATGCAAGTGCTTGGCATGTTGATTCATTCATAATCATACAACAAAACTAAATCCAAAGTGAAAAAAGGGGAAAATGTAAGATATCTTGTCATTAATCCTCCTGCCTAATAAGAAATCTATCCAGTATCCATTAGACATGGTCCCTTCTTCAATCTTTAATATTTTGTTTATGAGGTTTTTGTGAGTCATGTAAGATTTGTTATATTTTCTTTTCCTAGCAGTGGCGGAAGCCTTGTACATTGGGTCGCCCTTTTTTTTTTTTGTCTCTCTAAAATTGCCTGTTAGAAAACAAGTTAACAGGTTAAGAATTTCATCATAACTCAAACTAACCTTTACACCTACTTAAAATATGTGAAAGGGATACAAACTAAGTGTAGAGCCCCCGTATATATAGTCAATGAGAGTTACAATAAGGACAAAAAGGTAAAAAATAAAAACTTAATAAAACCCTAATAAACTAAGCTACTGCTATATCTCCAACACTCCCTCTCAAGCTAGGTGCAAAAATGTCAACTAAGTCAAGCTTGACAATGGAGTCCCGAAGAATAGATAGAGTAACAGGTTTGGTAAAAACATCCGCAACCTGATCACTGGTCCCCACAAACAATGAAGTGACAATACCACAACGAACTTTCTCCTAAAAAAAGTGAACATCGATCTCTATATGCTTCATCTTCTCGTGTAATACAGAGTCAGAAGCAAGCTGAATAGCAGANCAAACGATGGAGTGACAATACCACTGCTAACCTTTTCCCGAAGAAAGTGAACATCAATCTCTATATGTTTCGTCCTCTCATGTAGTACAGAGTCAGAAGCGAGCTGAATAGCAAATCAATTATCACAATATAATGTGGATGGAGAGGTCACTGAAAAACCCAACTCGCCAAGAATCGATCGTAGCCAGATAATCTCATACGTGCCAAATGCCAGTATCAGATACTCTGCCTCTGCTGACGAGCGGGAGACAACTGTCTGCTCCATGCTCTTCCAAGAGATAAGATGAGTCCCTCGAAAAGCACANCTGCTTCTTGCTCTTCCAAGAGATAAGATGAGTCCCTCGAAAAGCACAGAAACCCGTAGTAGATCGACCATCACATGCTCCCCCATAATCTGAATCTGAATAACAGGCTAGAGAACCGGTCTGAGATCCTGATGCATAAAACAACCCAAGTCCAGGACAAGACTTGAGGTACCGAAGAATATGATAAACTGCATCAAGATAAGGCTGACACGACCTATGCATGAACTGACTAACTCGGCTGACTGCGAATGAAATGTCCGGCCTAGTATTGGCTAAGTAGATAAGTCTACCTACCAATCTTTGATAAACTGTCGGATCTTTCAACTCCTCACCTTTAATAAGCTTCAGGTTTGGAATCATGGGTAATGATGCCGGTTTACACCCCAACATTCCAGTGTCTGAAAGAAGATCCAAAACATACTTTTTCTGAGAAAGAACAACACCTCTGCCGCTACGGGCAACCTCAATCCCAAGAAAGTATCGCAGAAATCTAAGGTCCTTCACATCGAAGGCCTTCCTAAGGTCTATCTTAACCTGTGCAGTCCCAGAAACATCATCACCAATAAAAATAATATCATCAACATATACCAGAAGGATGACACACTATCCAGAAGTATTCCGTCGAATAAAGCAGGTATGATCAGAATGACACCTGGTGAACCCCAATCGTACGACTACATCACTAAAGCGAGAGAACCAGGCTCGTGGCGACTGTTTCAGTCCATAAAGAGACTTAGCAGTCGACATACCTTTCCAGCATACTCCCCCTCACCACGAAAGCCCGGTGATGCATCCATATAAATAATATCGTCCAGATCACCGTGAAGAAATGCATTCTTCACATCTAATTGATGAAGAGGCCAAGAGTACTTCGCAGCCAGAGAAATAATCAACCGAACAGTAGTCAATTTTACCACGGGGGCAAATATAGCACCAAAATCACGACATGGTGCCTGAGTAAAGTCCTTCGCCACAAGTCTAGCCTTGTGATGATCAATAGTACCATCTGTAAGAAACTTCAGGGTGTAAACCCAGCGACAGCCAACAGGCTTCACCCCTGAAGATAAGGAGACAAGATCTCATTTATGATTACGCTGAAGAGCGTCCATCTCTGTCTGTATGACAAGAACCCATTGGGGCTCCCGCATAGCTTCTGAATGGGACAGCTGAAAGCCAACCTCGTCCCCTTAACTCGTTGAAAAAAAGTTGAATAATTTGCATACAAGGTGAAGGTCCAAAGTGAGACCGAGCACACTCATGAGCACCCACCACTGAATTTTACCCATTTTTCTAACTAAAGGGTCAAATCAATTTCCCACGGAAGAATTGTGAATCCTTTTAAAAAATAAAGGATTTCTCTGTAATTAGGCCATCAAATTCCAAAAGAGAAAGCAAAAACACAAACATTTGTTCTAAAAAACAACAAAAAAACTTCCGATTAAGTTAATATGTTCATAAAATCGATTTTGAAAAAGGGCACTTACATTGTTGAGAAGCTTATTGACGATTTGTTGGAGCTCTTTGGGACCAGCGTTCTGTGGTAAGTACATAGAAGCTCCCAACAGAGTCCCCTCAGGTCCGTCAACTGTGACATCACACTATTGTTCAGTTCTCTCTGTCCTTTGACTCCTACTTCGAGTTCCATTATTGCCGGAGGCGAGAGAAAAGACACCGCTTGGCCGAAGCTGGTGCAGAAATGGAGGTCAACGAACGATGGAGGGTTTAGGGTTTTGATGGGTTTTTTAACAGTGTTATTAGAACCGGGACCTTCAACAATCTAGTTTATGAAAAAAACCATTTGGGTAATTGAACTGCTAAAGAACCGGAGAACCGGCCGGTTTAGGCCAAAAACCAGTGAACCGAGGATCAAAAAAATCGGTGGTTCAAAACCAATATTCGTCTTTCTCCAAATCAGTCTTCATTTTCTCCTAATCAGCCTTCCTCTTCTCCAAATCAAGCACTCGAATAACGGCACACGACACCACACTATAGATCTAGATCTTGAACAACAAACTTCATCCACTTTGTCTTCTTCGTCTTCTCCAGATCAAGCTCTCAAATAGTGGCACACGACACCCACAGATCTAGATCATCTCAAACACTAGATTTTTAATCCTTGAAGATCAGATTCTTTCTTCTCCTCTCTCTCTCTCTCCACGCTGACACACACTTACAGCTGGTGGGTATTGCCTCACTGTTGGTGGGGTGGTGGGTACCGCCTCACAGTAGGTGGGTATTGCCTTACAACATCATATTTTTTTCTTTTCCTCTCTCTCTCTCTCTGTCTCTCCACACAGATACACACTCAGTTGGTGGGGTGGGTTTTTGCTGGGTATTTTCTCTCTCTCTCTCTCTCTCTCTCTCTCTCTTTGTCTACACGTGCACACACACAGTTATAGACAATCTATATAAAAATCAAAACACACAGCACACTTTAGTAAACAAAACACATATTACACTATTTATTTATTTTATTGTGATTATGAATTTTTTAGTAAAATTATTATATTTTATTTTTTTTATTATAAGATCGGTCTGACCAGTTAACTCAATGGTTAAACTAGTGAACTATTGACCCGATCCCTCTACCGATTCGATATTTGGTCTGGTTCTGATAACATTAATTTTTAAGTTTCGACGATGTGGTGGTGATACATTGTTGGTTTTATACTTTTTTGTTAGATTTTTGCACTTTATACCCATAAAGATTTCAAGTTTCCCACTTTATACCTTTCAAAATTAAATTTCTCATATTATACCATCAATGTATCAAAAGTATTTCAAGTTAAATTTCTCAGATTTCAAGTTACGTTCTATTCGTTATTTTTCCCATCCAAAACCAATCCATTCACACTAGTAGAAAAACTAACAAAATAATCACATTGTAATATTTTTGATACATTTAAGATGCAATGTGACAAATTTAATCTTTAAGGATACAAAATAAAATTTTAAAAATCTTTCTAAATTATAAAATTCAATCCACCCTTTTCTTTCTTTCTTCTAAACCTTTTTTTTATATTGAGGAATAAATATTGAATATAATAGTTACAGTATAGTTACAAAATTTTAATATAACAATTACAGTACAGCTACAGTAATCTCTAAATGATAAAGTAAACAAGTGAACAAGATAAAACACTTAATTAATGAGCTTACGAGCTTTGGTGAGTCAATGAGCCATTTGGCTAAATCATGAGGGCGTGAGCCTACTCTGAATTTTTTTTTAAACGTATAATCTATATATATTTCAATTAATTTCTAGATATATCTACAACTGTCATCTCTATATATTATTATTCAATCAATCAATATGACCTAT